AATTATATATATATATATTATATTATATAGCACGCACACATTGTATAAAGATAAACATCAACACAAAAAATCATCGGCAAATAACAAAAAAATACATGGTTGGACATTCTAAGAAAGACCCATACGTCACAAAATGTTAATAATTTTCTTTTAGTTTTAAATTTTAAATTACAATACAAGAGGAAATTAAGAAAAATATTAACTAAAAAAACTAAAAACAATAAATTAAAATTCCGGATCGGCGTCGGGTTGAGCCGGGTGGGGTTGATGGTGCGGGTAAGGTGGGCCGAGCCTATCATTTTAGTCCCAGGTCTGGAGCTGGACCCAACCGCGACCTATGAGCGTGCATATCATGTTCTGGGTCCGCGCCGGGTAATGAAACTCATGACGGGCTGGCCGGGTGAGCGCCCAATCCCTACTTGAAAACGCCGGTGTCGGACTGTGGGGCCATTGGATTTGCGGTTGCTGTTTGAATGTCGTCACGACCCGCAATATCCGCGGCGACGTGCGGCGTGAAAAACTCTGAAAAGGTAGTCCCCGCTCACGTTCTAGCGTGTGGTCCCCACCCGACAAAGCAAACGAAGTATCCAAGGGGGCCAACTCCCACCAGCCGAAAATACTAATATTTCCCAGTAGGCCCCGCAACACGATCAAATATCACGTGTCGGGATGGAAAATCGTGAACCGTGTTCGAGACTTCACACGGGCGGGTGTGCTTCCCCATTTCGACGAACTATTCAAATATCTGTCCACAAGATTCACTCCGCTTCTGTTCACTCTCCCATTTTATTTCCTTTTATTTTTTTTGATTTTTGATCACAGCACAACGGGCAGAGTGATAACCAAGAAGGAAGGAAAAAAAGAAAAAAAGGAAAAAAAGAAAAAAAGGGCCGATCCACGTTCACTTTCATAATTCCTCTTCGAACAAAAAGGAACTCCGACGTCTCCAGTTTCCTCTGTCATTGTCTTCGAAAAATTGAATTCGGATTGTAGGGAGACGAAGAGCCGAGTTGTAGAGAGCGAAAGAAGTAATGAGTGGAGGGGGAGAAGAAGAAAGCATAAAGCTAGAGTTCACTCCGACATGGATCGTCGCCGTTGTATGCTCCGTCATCGTCTTCATCTCTCTCCTCGTCGAGCGCCAGCTCCATTTCCTCGGCAAAGTGCTCTCTTTTTTCACCCAAATCTCCAAAAGTTGGTGGCTTTGACAATATACTGATGTTTTGTTCGGTAAAAATCGCAGCTTTTCAAGAAGAAGAACCAGAAGCCGCTGTATGAAGCCCTCCTCAAAGTTAAAGAAGGTAGTTTTCCTTCTTCCACTTTGACCCTTGTTGCGGAAGAAACTAAAAAGATGTGATTTTTTTTAGAAATGTGTATTGTGGTTGCAGAATTGATGCTTCTAGGGTTCATATCGCTGCTGTTGACGGTGTTTCAAGGTTTGATTCAAAAGATCTGCATCCCTGAGGGGTGGACTAATCACATGCTCCCGTGCAAGAAGGAAGATGAACAATCTGAGGCCGCCACGACCGAGCATTTGGTTTCGGGAGTTCTGCGCAGGCTTCTGTCTGAAGAGGGATCAGCAACAACACATTGCAGCAGAAAGGTCTTTTCTTTCTTCTATTTCTTTCATTTTTTTCCTTACCCATTAATGCAATAAGCGAAGGACAAATTTTCAAAACCACCCTTTTTGGATTTTATTTGCAAAAAACGACCCCTTTTGAAAATAATTTCAAAAACCGACCTGTTTTCAGCCCAGCGCTGAAAACATGTCGGTTTTTGTAAAATTTTTTTCGAAACATCACGGGAGTTCAACTCCCGTGAAGTTTATCGAGAAATTAAACTTCACGGGAGTTGAACTCCCGTGAAGTTTAATTTCTGCTTAAAACTCCACGGGAGTTCAACTCCCGTGGAGTTACAGTCCAACATTCCCAGAGAGTCGATCTCTGGGAATTTTGGACTGTAACTTCACAGGAGTTCAACTCCCGTGAAGTTGCAGGTTTTCCATTACATGCACAGCATGCATACATCGACATATTTAACTCATATATACAAATATTTACCTGTTGACAATAATTACATTACATGCACAAATATTTACCTGTTGACAATAATATATATATTGCAGTAATTATTGTCAACAGGTAAGTATTTGTATATATGAGTTAAATAGGTCGACGTATGCATGCTGTGCATGTACAGGGCCGGTCCTGAGAATTCGGGGGCCCTAGGCAAAAACTTGAACAAAAATCCTAAAGGGGCCCTCCTATATTCAAGATTTTTTTAAAAAAATAAAGTGTTGCACCCAAGTAACTTTAGGGTTGCCTACATACCAAGAGATGTTATAACTAACCTCAAGGATCAAACACAATGTAGTTCTCCTTAGCTACCCATCCTGGCCAAAGGCCTACAAATCACACCCTAACACTCTCATTCCCAAAACAAGATAAATGAACCAATAGAAGTATCACTTTATGAAGCCTCTTCTTGCATTTTTAGATGCAAAATCATTAATTAAACTTGTATAATCAAGTTTCTCCACTACATTTTTCTCAATTGACAGTAAAGCTAAGCCGTTCAATCTTTCTTGTGACATAGTTGATCGAAGATAAGATTTGATCAACTTTAACTTTGAAAAGCTTCTTTCTGCAGAGGCAACAGTAACAGGTATGGTCAACAATATTCTGTAAGCAATCCAAGCATTCGGAAAAGTACCATCCAATTTCTTCAAATAATTCAGCACGTCAATTGCTTTTTTTGTTTCTTTTGGTAAGTATTCTCTCAAAAGTTTCAACTCTAAAAATAAATCTTCGCCATCAATATCAAAATGACTGTCATGCTTTAAAGATTCTTCAAGTTTCACACAATAAGCCTTCAAACTAGCATCATCAACAATGCTGAATTTCTTCAAATCAAATAAAAACCCAAAGACTTCTTCATAATGCCGAAATTATTCAAACCTACTCTAAGAGAAGAAATAGCTTGATCCACTATATATAGAAAATATTTAACTCTAAATGATTCTTCAGGAGATAATATTGTCTCTTCGGTAGCACTTTCATCAAATTGTCTCTTCCTGCGAATGATACGCTTTTCACGAAATACAGCTTCAATTTTCATTTCAGATGCAACCTTTTTAGCTTCAGTAATGGCCTCCTTAAATCCATTTTCTCTGTACTTTTCAAAAAATAATATAAGCCCATTCAATTGATCTATAGCAATATCAATTTGCATGTCTTCCTTTTGCAAAAATTTGCTAACAGAATTAACAGCAAATAATAAATTGTGCCAAACAATCATACCCAATAAGAACTCAAAATTCTCCATTTCATTTGTTGCTAAGGACTCAGCTTCACTCTTTATTTTTGGATCTCCATCGATACTTGCCAAGTGAATTAAAGCATCTCTTATTTCTGTAGCTTGAAATCTTACTGCTCTTACACTTTCAACATGACTTTCCCACCGTGTTTGTGACAATGGCTTAAGTGTGAGACCAGAAACATGTTCTTTGAAAATATCCCACCGCTTAGTAGAAGATGAAAACAAAGTATATAAACGTTGTATCACTCCAGAAAAAGATATAGCTTTCGGACAAGAGTTTGCCATATCACAAAGTGCGAGGTTAAGACTATGACAACCACATGGAGTGTAGAATGCTCTAGGATTTACTTCCAGGAGTCTTTTTTGCACACCTTTATTTTTTCCTTTCATATTAGATCCATTGTCATACCCTTGTCCTCTTACATTAGAAATGTCAAGTTCCAGAATCTTCAATACATCTTCAAGTTCGCCAAAAAGTCCTAGTCCTGACGTATCGTCGACCTTAAGAAATTCTAGAAAGAACTCTTCTACCTTTACTGGACTTTCTGAAACATCCACACATCTTATTATAAGAGTCATTTGTTCTTCATGGCTTATATCTGGAGTATAATCTAGTATAACAACAAAATATTTTGCTTCTTTAATTATTTTGATCATTGTATGTTTAATCTCTCCCACTAACATTCCTATCAGTTCATTTTGAATTTTATGACTGAGATAGTGCTTATGAGATTCACCACTTTGATAACGTCGAATATGCTCTTTCATTACCGGATCAAATTCGGCAATCATTTTAATTAAACTTAAAAAATTTCCATTGTTCTCTTGATAAATCTTCTCATTATCCCCACGAAATGCTAAACCATTTTTAGCAAGTGTTTTTACAATAGCAACTATTCTTAATAATACTTGTCTCCAATGTTCTCTCTCTTTGTTTAATATTTCTTGCACACTTTAGTCAATTTTTCAAATACTACGCAATCTCCATTCCAATTCAATCAACTTCTCATGGCAACTTAGTGTCATACTCCTTCATGAAGACTTTGAAGTCTATGCACTAAGATTCTGTCAATTTAATATCCTTCATCTAACAAAGAACCATTCCCGAATTCTGTTTCCACTTTTCATAACATAATTTGAAACAAAAGCAAAATACCAAGCATCAAAGAAGTTGAATATATTAGCCATCTATCATGTTTTCTCCATTTAGACCAATTGTCGAGAGTGTAACTGAGTGAAGAGAAATGTCTGCCTTCAATATCTTTAGAAGAACAATAACAAAACTCTTTGTCCTCTTTTCTACTAAAAGATCTCTCACTTTTTGATCAATATATACCTAATTTGCGGATCGTCAACATTCATGTTTTCGATTGAACTCTCAATCTAAGTGAGTAGGTTCCTCAATGTTTCTATTCATCGTTCTGAGCTTAATTCATATTTCATTTGTTCAGAATAGCGTTCTTCAATATTCATATTATTTTTCTTTCTTCATTTGATTCTTCATTATTATTTCTTCGTATCATGCTCTGTATGCTACTCTAACAAAACTTATCAGCCGCTCCTGTTGAACTTTGCAAGTTTCCAATAGTTTGTTTTTTTTCTTTATTTCATATCCGAACCTATACTTCTAGGAAGCATGATGAACGCTGAAAAAATATGATCAATCAACAATGCAATTCAGATCACAAATTATATACAAATACTAAAATACATAGATCAAACAAACAATATATAATTTATATGAAGTTATAAATACCTTAGAAATTGAATAGCTTCACTTCAAACAAATTTCAGATCAACACGCTTGAATCCTAAAAGATGCACTTTTATCTTTTGTTCCTATTCAATAGACAAAAACAAAGTTTGGACTTAAGATTTTTTTTGGGACACGAATACGATGCAATCATTTGATCATATTAGGTCATGAAACAAGCTCTGAAATAAATCATATAATTGAATGGTAACATGCAAATGGTAACATGCATCAACTAGTTTTTGGCCATGATAACAAGCTCTGAAATAAATCAAATTTGATGTTAATATATCAAAACTGGACATAGGATTATAGGAATATCCATTTAGGTTAATTAACTTACTTTTATCCGTCTTTAAAAGTCTATGAAGCTATTGCTAAAGGACAAAAAAAAGTTGTAGGATGCTGCAGTAGGACATTAGTCAATTATAGCCTACAAAGCTACTTAGCTAGTAGCTACACAATTACATAGTTTACTGTTTACACTTTACATTAAAGTGAACACTGAATTTACATAGTTTACTGTTTACACTTTACATTAAAGTGAACACTGAATAGCCGGCATGAGTGAACAGCTGAACATGCCAGGTTTAAGCGAAAAAGCATCTCGCACCTTAATTCGGCGGAGGAGGCGTCAGGCGCGTAGACGGCAAATAGACTCGGCGAGGTCGCGTTTGCCGGTGGGAGGGGCGGAGGGAGTCGCCGGAGGCGGCGCCGTGGAGTTCGACACTTCGACGAATCGACGGTGGAGGAGCGGACGGAGTCGGGAAGAACTGAAGAAGATGAGAGGTCAGAGAGAGACCTAGGTTTTGTCACTTTTGTGTATTTATAGGAATTGGAATTATGCTATTAGAACCCTCTAACAATTTTGCACAAAAATCCTCTTACTTTTTCATATCTATAAAAGGTATAGAAGTATTATATTGGGGCCCCTATTTTTTGAGGCCCTAGGCGAAGGCCTCTCCCGCCTACCCCTAGGGCCGGCTCTGTGCATGTAATGGAAAACCTGCAACTTCACGGGAGTTGAACTCCCGTGAAGTTGCAGTCCAAAATTCCGAGAGATCGACTCTCTGGGAATGTTGGACTGTAACTCCACGGGAGTTGAACTCCCGTGGAGTTGTAAGCAAAAATTAAATTTCACGGGAGTTCAACTCCCGTGAAGTTTAATTTTTCGATAAACTTCACGGGAGTTGAACTCCCGTGATGTTTCGGAATTTTTTTTTACAAAAACCGACCTGTTTTCAGCGCTGGGCTGAAAACAGGTCGGTTTTTGTAATTATTTTTAAAAGGGGTCGTTTTTTGCAAATAAAATCCAAAAAGGGGTGGTTTTGAAAATTTGTCCATAAGCGAAAGAAGTATATTGAAGGAACACATGCGGCTTGTTTGTAATTGGAATGAAGATTAGAAAAGGGAACAAAAATATATAACTGCAGTTGAAATGGGAGCAGCAACAGTACACGTTGCAGTAGAAAGATCATTCCTTTTTCCAATTTTGTTCTTACCCATTAATGCAACGATCAGTGAAAGTGAGTTATATTGAAAGAACTTAAGAAGCTGGTTGGTATTTCAAATGTAAATCTTGGAAAAGGAAAAATGGTAAATGCAGTTGTTATATTTCTTATAGAAATTAAGGTTAGGTTAAAGTTCACAAAAACCCCAAAAAATTACGTTAGAGTTTGGCCCATTTGAGATACTTCCCAGTTGAACATGTCACTTTACCCCCAAAACTTTTGGGCCTTGCACAAAACCCCCATACTGTTTTAAAATTTTTCAACATGGCCCCCTAACGGTGTAATGGTGTTTCCAAGAACTTTATTGAAAGTTCATGAGGGTTTAAAATATTGTTTAAAATAATGTATAACAAGTTAACAACTATGCTATTTTACTTCTTTCCAAGTACGTACTTTGAATTGATAGAAGCAAACTAAGCTGATATCATTAACTTTAAATCCCGTCATCTCACTATTGACTGGGAGATTGTTACATCTAATTACTTCTTTATAGGAAAATTCATACCCTTGCATATGTTTAAAATATACGTTGAGCAGCATCTAATGTCATTGAGGACTACTGTGAAGCTAGTTTTGTACTCTATTTTTGATACATCTTGACTCTTGTTATTTTCAGGGGAAAGTGCCATTATTGTCTATCGAGGCTTTGCATCAGTTGCATATCTTTATTTTCGTTCTGGCACTCACTCATGTGGTCTTTAGTGTACTCACTGTGATTCTAGGAGGGGCAAAGGTAAACAACACTTGATTTGTTCTTTATTCTTAGTTTTCATGAACTTTTCCTATGCATTTGGGCTTGGCTGCCTATGGAGTTTTTTTTATAATGTTGAACATGCCTGATTTTCATGAACTTTTCCTATGCATCTGGGCTTGACTGCCTGTGGAGTTTTTTTTTTAAATGTCGAACATGCCTGATAGTGGTCTCCTTTCAATGGCTTAGATAAGGCAATGGAAGCACTGGGAGAACTCAATCCACAAAAATGATATGGAAAATGGTATGTTTAGATTGGCTAGCTTATTCAAATAAAGTTGAAATTACGCAAATACATTGATATGTTTCAGTTCTGGATAAACTTATTTGTCATAATTTCAAATTTCCATTATTTAATCCTATTATGTGCTGTCTAAGTTCAATGTTACATGCAGTTCCAGGAAAGGTCACCCATGTCCAGCAATTTGAGTTCATCCAGGACAGGTTTAAGGGCACTGGCAAAGATTCACGCTTATTTAGTTGGCTTGTAAGTACCCCCTGTATATAATTTGAGATGGTTTACCCCTTTTGGATACTTGAGCCGGTGATTTGGTATTGTATCAAAATGTTGATAAATTCTGATGTTTCATTTAAGTGAAAGCCCTTGAAAGGATCATGGATAGAAATAATTGTAGCTGTTGGTTTAACAAAAGTTATTAGACCTCAATAGATCGAGTTGAATGGAGAGAAAAGGATTTATGTAATCAATCTTAACTCTTAAAGGTTTAGGGTAAATGCTATTGTCGATATCATTCTTGCTATTGTTGTTGTTTGTAATTCTTTGAGAAGGTTATAATTAACGAGTGAGAATCAGTGGCAGTGTTGTATGGAGTAATAGAAGTAGGACGAAGTGGACGCAGTTAAACATATTCAGTAATTCATTAGAACCGTAGTGTAAAATAAGAACAAATGATAGATGTCTTTTCCCAGTTGTTTGACAACTTTGTGGGTTTCAACCCTTTAAGTACAATAAAACATAAATGATAATTCTTATCATATTCCTATTATGTGAATGTGACTATTATTATGTCTTTTAGCTCACTCTAATGGTAAACTGAGAGACTGTTGTATTTTAACTTGGGGATCACTTTTGATGAGAAAAGTATTGAGTGTTAAGTAAAAATAAGTGTGTCAAAAACTGGTCAAAGTTCCAACAACATTGTGTGAAAAATTTTGTTCTATCTTTTCGAAATTGCAAACAATATTTCCTTTCATATTTTTGGCTTTGCTCCTTCCATAAATCTAGGGATTTTAATTCCCTTAAACATTTCAGTGGAAGTAGCTCACAGAATATTTTCTTGCAAAAGCACCTAGTTGGAAACCGTAATACACTATTTTGGTTTTTAGCAGTTCAGCAGAATATTGATGGAACCTTACTTACTCCATTTTTTGCAATACTTTAGGAACCTTACAAACACCATTTTGCAAATGATGGTTGACTTTTCTCATGTCATCTATGATGTAGGACAATTTTTATTTGGATTATAAAGGAACAAATAATTATCACTCATCTATTCTACTTATTGTTTTTGTTGCATCAATACAGTAGATGTGTAATAATTACCAATTAGGAAACTTTTATAACAAATATATTCCTTCAAAAGTTGTAACCGTTACATTCTACTTTCAGTGACATGTTTTCCCTGTGATATATTATTCTTTTGTATCTCTATTTATTATTATTTCTCAGAAGATTTTTTTTTCTAATTAAATTTGAATGTTAGGGGATTTGTTGCAAAGATGTTAGATTTTCTGAGTCGTATCTTTTACTTTCGTATCACCATTTTTCATGTGATTAGTTATTCTTTTTCGTTAGAAGTATTTGTTATTCTATCTCAGAAGATGTCTGCTAATTAGTTGTGAATATTATTCCTTCAAAAGTTGTAACCCTTTCATTCTATTTTCAGTTACATGTTTTCCCTGTGATATATTATTCTGTGTAACAAATATACTCCTTCAAAAGCTGTAACCCTTACATTCTACTTTCAGTTGCATGTTTTCCCTGTGATATATTATTATTTTGTATTAGCTCTATTTATTATTATTTCTCAGAAGATTTTTTTTCTTGTTAAATTTGAATGTTAGTGGATTTGTTGCGAAGATGTTTGATTTTCTGAGTCGAATTAATCTATTGCTTATCTTCTACTTTCGTATGCCCATTTTTCCTGTGATTATTTATTCGTTTTTGTTAGAGGTATTTGTTATTCTATCTCAGAAGATGTCTGCTAATTAAGTGTGAATATTATTGGACTTCTTAGAAAGATTTAGGAAGTTTTGCATCTAATCATTTTTATGCTTTTGTTCTACTTTTAGTTCCATGCTTTTCCTACAACTTCTTATTCATATTTCTTTAACAATATTTATTATTCTTTCTTAGAAGATTCTATTGATTTCTCAGGAAGTTGTCAGATTTTCTGAGTCTAATTAATTTTATGTTTGCTTCAGTATTCTTTTGGCAAACAGTTCTATGGATCTGTGACTAAATCAGACTACACCACAATGAGACTGGGCTTCATCATGGTAATTAATTCAAAAATGTCAAATAGATGTCCTACTTCCTATGTCTTACACAAAATAAAATTAGTTTTATTTAATTCTTTGTGGATCTCTTACCACAGACACATTGCAAAGGAAACCCAAAATTTGATTTTCACAAGTATATGGTACGGGCTCTTGAAGCAGATTTCAAGAAAGTTGTTGGTATAAGGTATTTCTTTTACAGTTTTACCTACAGACTGAGTACTATTAGTTTCTTGCTTGAACATACAAACTAGTTATGCATGCGTTTGACACTTGAAAATGGCACCAACGCTAGCGGTGACAAAGTTTGCTTTGTCAGTTTAGATTATGTTATAATGAAATCTCATTCTTCTTCATGTGATTGTAATTGCTACAATTTCTCTTTCTTTTCAGTTGGTATCTTTGGGTTTTCGTGATGGTGTTTTTGTTGCTAAATGTTAATGGTAAGATCAAGCTCAAGCAATGTTAGTTTCAATAATCATTTCATTTTTATCTTTGAATTACAAATGGGTCAATTAGTATTACTTCTGCTTGTACTATTGTTCAGAATCTTTTTGTTGATTTTTCAATGTAGAGTTTGGTTTCCAGCCAACTCTAGATAAATGGAGTACAGGTTATTTCCCTTCTACTGCAAAGAACAAAAAGTGGAAAGTTAGAATATGTCAATCATTCTGCCTCCATTTGCTTTACATATGAAGATTGTTCATTAGAACATGATATTGATGAATATAAGTATTTACATAGGAATAAAATTTCGCTGCAACAGGTATTCAATAGCCCATTTTAGTTTATATAAATGGCGATTGTTTTTCGGAAATTAAACCTAAGTAGAAAAGCCTGTCAAGTATAATTTTATCTGCAGATATTTGAAAGTCCAGTTAACTGCAATGGATTTATTTATTTATCATCCTCATCATCATCATCATCCTTCTCGTCATCATCAAGCGCATAGTTCTTCTCAGGCATATTTTTAACAACTAGCTTTACAGATATAACTGAATCAAGCACATAGTTTGTTCTTTTAGTGTAAAAATTCTGTGCATCTTCAATGACTAACCTTTATCGTACTAGAAATTACTCGCAGCTTTTATTTATGTTGCCGTTGAAGAATATTTATTTGTATCTGAGGGTAACTGCATCAAGTATTTGCTTTATCCACTTCCATCCATAGCCAAAATTTGTCTTGAAATTTCTCCCTTGTGCAGGCTGGCATACTTATTTTTGGATTGCATTCGCTCCTTTAGTTGTAAGTATCTGTAACTTTTATAATTCCGTGTGTTAACCATTTCAGATTGGCTTTTAGTTTCATAATTCAGATGCATGGGTTTTGTTGCCATTGTCGTCTGAATTATTTGAGCAATCAATATCTTTAATCCCCAGAGCAACTACTCTAAATCAAAAAGTGTGTTTATCAGTAGAATCATGTTTGTAGTTTCACTTAATCAGAGAAGTCATAGGCTCTTAAGTCATAGGCTCTAATGAGAATAAAATGTAAATGTAACAAAGGTCTTAAAAAGAGACTCACGGCTTCCAAAGCCACAGGTTTTATCATATAAGGGGTTATTTTGCAGTAGAACCTTGATTATTAGTCTACAATCTTCATAGTTTTGCTTCATCTGAGCTGTTATACTTTCTATGTGAGAAAGAAATGCATCCGTAATCAAGGTCCTCAAGTGAGATTTGTGGCTCCTAAATCCATTCATATGAGTCCGTGTATCTATAAACAATGTGTCTGAACATGATTTTTCATGATTAAATTAAGGCAAGCTCCTGAGAAGTATTATATCTATAGTTGAATATGTCATTGAGTTGCATCTCCATTGACACGTGCAATCCTTATATTGTAAAGGAACTGAATAATTCATCTGTGTATGCTGCAGCTTCTTCTTGCTCTGGGTGCTAAGTTAGAACATATCATAACTCAGTTGGCTCATGAGGTTGCTGAGAAGCACACAGCCATTCAAGGTGATTTGGTTGTCAAACCCTCGGACGAGCACTTTTGGTTCAACCGTCCTAAGATTGTACTCTATATGATTCACTTTATCCTCTTCCAGAATGCATTTGAGATCGCATTTTTTTTCTGGATCTTGGTAAGCAACATTTAATAGTTCACATTGTGGAAAATTGTATGGTGTGCTTGGTTACATGGAAAATGATAGAACTAAAAGATAATTGTAAAGAGAAAGAGAACATGTAGACATGTAATATTATTCTTTCATTGCCTTTAAAGCTAACATGGACTACAAAGATACAGCTCAAGTTTTCATCTTTGAAAAATGCTGGCTTGATTTGGAGCCTTACAAGCTATGTTACCTGGGTACTTCTATCATGAAGCCGTACACATAACGAACACATATCTGTACCCAAACTTCATGGACACTCCTTGGAGATATGCACACATTTGTTTAGACATGTACTCAATTATATGATATACGTCTCTCTTATTTTAAAACACTTGTCATACACTTCTTGGACATATATCATACACTTCATATCATTTTCTGAACCTTGTTACTCATTAGGCATGGGTCAGGTTTGTTTTATCCCATACCCAAGTTTAAAAATTATAGTTTTAAAGGGTCATTTGGGTGTCTAGTCAAATTTACAATAAACATACTGAAAGAAACTTTAAAATGTGGGAGGAATTTTAATTCTAATAACACATGAATTTTAGAAACAAGATTGATCTCATGTATTATTAATTTTAATATATTATATATCTGTGTCCCCGTACCCTAAATATTACAATTTGCTGTGTCCTGTACCCGCACCTATACTGGTACCCGTACCTGTTTCCATGCAACTTAGCCTACAAGAAACCTTGTAATATTCGAATCTTACCTTGTCTACAGGAACATTGTAGTTTTCTCTCAAGCTTTAACTTTATGTCCAATCTGTGACACATCATGCACATGGCGCCTGCTCATTAAGAGGGGTTCTATGACAGATCCCATTTCTTGGGAAAGTCTTGACTGATAACCGATGGAAGATATATCATGTTATTATTTACGATACGAATATGCATGCTTTTGTCACCTTGCAGACAACATATGGATTTAATTCCTGCATCATGGGACAAGTTGGGTTTATCATTCCCAGGCTCATTATTGGGTAAAATCAATTCTCTCCTGCCTCAATATATATTTACTTTCTACAGCACATTAGATATTTGTTCTTAACACACATATCTAACCTGGGTATTATTAATTATTTAGCGCAATCATTCAGATTCTCTGCAGCTACAGCACCCTACCACTCTACGCTATTGTGACACAGGTGAACACGGAATTGCATTCTCATTATCGATAAATTATAAGGTTAATTGCGGATAGAACCCTGTATTATCATCCAATTGCAGATACAGTCCCGTAGATCTATTGTTGCAGATTGAACCCATGAGTGAATTTTTTGACTCTTACCCTCAGAGAGAAGATTGTTTTTGGACAAATAGACCTTCTAAGGGTGAGGCAAAAAATAAAATTAACTCATGTTTTTGGACAAATAGATCTTCTGAGGGTGAGGGGCAAAAAATAAAATTCACTTGGGGTCTATCTGCAACAATAGAACTACAAGAGGTCTATCCGCTATGAACTGTAGAATATATGAAGCCTTCTCAGCTTGGCTTGAGTTCTGACATCGTATTGGTGAATTATTGAAGATGGGAAGTTCATTCAAGAAGGCAATATTTGAAGAGCATGTGCAAGAGAGCCTTGTTGGATGGGCACAGAAGGTGAAGAAACGAAAAGGTTTTAGAACTGCTGGCAATGATGAGAGCGTGAGAAGCAGCGTGGAGATGAGTAATCGACCCGTTATAGAAAGCCAGACGAGTAAACTTCTTGATAAAGAGAAGGATAGTATGATGGAAGAAGGAAGAGCTGGGCCTTCTGAATAAGTTCATATCATTATTCCGACAAAGCTTTTTTGATAGAGAATCTCTATTCCTAAGGATAGTACGATGGAAGAAGGAATCTGAATGAAAAGTTGTTTGGTGGGGGCAGAAAATCTATGATTCAAAGTTCAACGTGAATTTAAATGTAGTTATTAAAGCTTAAAATTCTTACTTAATGACGGGAGTTGTTTAGCTGTTTCAGTTAATTGTACAATTTTTTATTATACTGCAAACATGGTCCGAGACCTTATATTATTACCCGATTAAAATTGTTGTAGATAACATTAAGTTATTGCGCTGACAATCATATTGTAGCAAAATTTCTGTGTACTGCAAAATGTCCAGTGTCATCCATTCGAAGATCTGGGCCTTTTTCTCTTTTGTTTTTGTTTTTTGGGAAAAAGTGGTGGTGGGAATCTAGCCTGAGAACTTAGTAAAGCTGAACTCAGAGTTGTACCCACTGAAACTTCGTAGTTGGGTTATTTGAAGATATTTGGGATTTATTTACGTATGATGTTGCTGAACACAAGCTGCCTTCTTTAACTCGCAACATTGTGATTTGTCATCGTAAGATGTTTTTCTGAATATAGACATAATCTTATGTTTATGAAACATGCAATTTCAATCATATTCTAACTTTTATATGCAATTGTCTGTAGATGGAGCAGACTATCTGATAAGCAGGAAACGGGAAATTTGAGGATTAAGCATAAGGATCACCAAAAGGAACCCTTACAAATGAAAGCGACTGCAAATCACTTGTAAAATTTATTTGAGAACCAGTTAAAAAAAGCTGTAGTTAAAAAAAAAACAACCGCAACTACAAATATAATTAACTAGCGAACTGGTTTTACCTCATTGCTCGTATTATATAGCAAACACGTGTAAGCGAAATAATAAAATACATAAGATTCCTCAGACTATTATTACGGAAAAAATTCCTTAAATCAAAATATCTTTTCTCATTCTTGATTTTCAGTATCTATCTTCTCTTTGGTGCCTCCTAACATGTTATACATGCAAAAGAAATGACCCTCGTGTTTCATAATCAAACCATAGACTCGTGAAGTGATAAACTATACTTCTTCTCAAACCTTAATTGAATTCGCAAAAACTGATCGATAAACCTCGCATCATCACAAAAATTTAGAATGTCATCCTTACATAAACTAACACTCATCACCATCTATTAAGTGATTAAAAATAAGAAATCATTTACTATAAGAGTAATACACCTGAGCGAACGAGGGAAACATTTTCACGATAGCTAACATTCTAGAACATAATATAACATCAAATTTTTGTCATAACCAAGATTATGTTGTATCCTTGCTCCTAGGGGTGTCCATATGGGCCGGCCCAGACCTGGGTCCAGGCTCGGGCTCGAGCGGGCCGGGTTCCGGGCCGGCTTGGTTTTTTCCATTTTTTTCCCTTTTCTTTTTTTTTATAAAAATTTGCTAAAAATTGTTAAAAATTAGTTTAACCTTATTATATTTATATAATTATGTATGAGTATATAGTACAAATTATTATGTAACTATGTATTATATATACATATATTATATGTAAATATATTAATTATATATATTTATAAGTTATAACATGAGAGAGAGAGAGAGAGAGAATCACATAAATGTATATTACATATTTATAAATACGTATTATGTAGTTATGTATGTATTTGTTAAATATTTTTCATAAATGTTTAGTAGTCTAGTGGAAAGTTAATGTTTTAGTGTTTCAAAAGGTCCATTATTCAAGGCTTGCTAATGGCAAGCCGAGAAGTGTTTTATTTTAATTAATCTCTCATAAGTTCTTATAGGTCGTGGGCCGTGGGATCGGAGCTAATCAGGCTGATGCGCTAAGTGGCGCTTTGTTAGGCGCACTTCGCACGTTGGTTGCCACTATGGTCGTCATGAAGGTTACCTCGCAGGCTGCTTCGCAGCATGTAGATGAGCTACGCATTCGCATGAGGGTGTGGCCCTGACGTTCTTGATGTTTGACGAGATTCGCTCGTTCGACGAGGTTCGTCTATCATACGAGGTTCGTCTGTCATATGAGGTTCGCCTGTTTGACGAGGTTCGCTCGTTTGACGAGGTTTGTCTGTCATACGAGGTTTGCCTGTTTGACGAGGTTCACTCGTTCGACGAGGTTTGGTTGTTTTACGAGGTTCTCTCGTTCGACGAGGTTCGTCTATCATACGAGGTTCGTCTTTTTTGACGAGATTCGTCTGTCATACGAGGTTCGCCCGTTCGACGAGGTTCATTCTACAGACGATGTTCATCTGATTTGTTGAGATGTGACCCTCGCGTTTCATAGCAACGCGTCCATTGATTGCCTCGTATTCAGGAGTTACTACATGCAGTTACAATAGCATTTAGAGGAATTTAATACATTAATATTACAATCTTAATTGTCAATGAGAATTGTAACAGTCACATTAATTATGAGTGACTCTTGAGCTGGCCTTAGAGGCCTATAAATAGCGCCCTTGGGCAGCTCATGGAGACACATACACGAGCTTAGAAAGCGAACGTCATATCAAGGAGATCTTGACGTTGTTGCTGTTGTTGTACTACTGCTGTAGAAACTATGCCTGTAGGAACTTGCCCTGAAACCGAAAGGTTCTGAGATCGATGAGATCTTTGCCTTGACTTAAAGGACTTATAGATAGAGAATATCTTAACAGTACTGGGTTGGTGCACAACAAAGTACTGTACTGCTATTCCTGGAAGCAGTTTGGTCTTGGGATCATTGCACTGAAGTAGGCCAAATATTACTTTAAGCACAGCGTTACACAAATGCATAGCAGTGAACTAAAAATTTAAAAATTATAGCACATCTGTTTTCTCAGTTTAATTTCAGATTTAACCATAATTTTTAACAATCTTAAAGCAATATTTTTTGATCTACTATGGATCCTGCGAGGACTCTTGGAGTGGACTGTCTCAAGTTAGAAAATTTTGACGAATCCAACTTTAACGCATGAGGTCGGAAAGTGATTTTCGGAATGCAACTCCTGAAAATCTACTATGTGGTTTCTGAGGAGAAACCTAACTTAGAAGAAGACTCTAAGTCTGAAGCCTCTTGGGCTAAAGATGATCATTTTTGCAGGAGTTATCTCCTTAACTGCCTGGCTGATCATCTGGCAGATGCTTATACCAATAAGCTCTCTGCAAAGAAAATCTAGAATGCTCTGGAGGAGCAATATAAGGATGAGGAGAAGCTTTCTAAGTCTCACCTCATTGACAAGTTTCTGGACTTTAATTTTGAAGACGACACTGAGGTTTTATTTCATGTCAAAGAGCTTGAAAAGCTTGTTATAAAGCTGAAGGATGAAAAGATTAATCTTTGTCAAACCTTCATTTCTAGAGCAATTGTTAACAAGTTTCCTCCATCTTGGATGTCATTCTCCACGGAAATTCGAAGAAGGAAAAGACAGGTGACTCTGTCTGATTTGAAGAGGTTCATTCGGATCGAGGACGAGATTCAGACTCGCACGAAGAATGGGCTCCTTGCTAATCAGAAGGCGTCTGCTAACATGATGGCTGCTAACTCTGAGAAGGGTACCGTTTTTTTTTCTAAGAAAAAAAAGTCTTTTAACAAAAAGAAGAACCATAATCCGAAGAACCTAAATGTTCAAAAGAAAGATTTTAAGAAGAGCGAAATATTTTAACTGTGGGAAGCAAGGACATTTTACCAAGGACTGCAAAACACCAAAGAAGGGAACAACACATAATGTTAATCAAGTTGATAATTGTGTAGCTATGCTCTTCTAAGTGATAACCCCCAACAACGTCTCTGGTTGGTGATTAGATACAGGTGCTACATGTCATGTTTGCTCCAACAGAGATTTGTTCTCTTCCTATGTTGCAATTAAAGAGAACGTATCAATGGCTGATCGTTCTGTAGTTCCTGCTCTTAGAACTAGAACTATGGTGCTGACTCTCTCTTCAGGGAAGACTCTCACATTGAAAGATGTAAAACATGTTCCCTTAATTGCCAAAAACTTAGTTTCTAGAAACCTGCTATGTGATGCAGGTATAAGGCTGAATTTCCAAGGAGGAAAGACTGTGTTATCATTTAAAAAAATATACTTTAGCAATGCATATCATACTGATGGCATATATAAGATCAGTACTATTGTACCCAACTCAGTTGTAAATAAAGTATCATCTTCTGCTTACTCCTCTATATTATGGCACAATAGACTAGGACATAAATTATAGAAAACTATCTAGCATGGAGAAATTAGGATTACTTCAAAAATGTGGGGGTAACAAACCAAAGAATTGTGAAGTTTGCGCGCAAGCTAAGCTGACAAAGAAGCCATTTTCAAGTGTCACAAGGAGTACCAATCTATTAGATCTAATTCACTCAGATACTTGTGATTTCAAGAGCTTCGTCACTCGAGGCGGCATAAAATACTTCATCACCTTCATTGGTGACCACTCTCACTTCTGCCACGTCTACCTACTAAAATCTAAAGATAAAGCCTTCAGTAAGTTTGTCGAGTTTCGGACTTGAGTGGAGAAGCAGCTTGGACTTCAAGTGAAAAGACTCAGGAGCGGTAGAGGAGGAGAGTACCGATCTAAGGAGTCGAAGGCATACTTCAAGGAGCATGGAATCATTGCTAAAACTACTATTCCGTATTCTTCGTAATCTAATGGAATTACAGAAAAGAAGAATCACACATTGACCGAGATGGTAAATTCGATGCTAATCACATCCAATCTACCTACATGCTATTGGGGAGAGGTTTTATTGATGGGCAAATTAGATTCTAAACAGAGTACCCTATTCCAAAACTAATAGTAGTCCTCATCAGTTATGGTTGGGATATCCTGATCGTTTGGATAGTCTCAAAGTGTGGGGGTGTCTCGCATATGTTCGAGTTTCAGATATTAGAAGGCTTAAGCTCGGACCAAAGGCAAACATATGTGTGTTTCTTTGCTTTGCTGAAGATAGTGATACTTGCAGGTTCCTGGACCTTGGAACCAACTCTATCATTGAAGCTTAGAACGTAGAATTCTTTGAGGATAAATTTATCAAAGATAAACGATTATTGCTCAAAGATATAGCAGAGAATGCTATGCACCAGAGGAGCCAGTTTTGCGAGAAACTAAAAGTGTCAGTAATGAAGGAGTTACTGAACCATCTTCCAAGTGTGTCAGGAGACAAAAATATTTTGGAGATGACTTCATTACCTATAATGTGGAAGGAGACCCACAGACTTTTCAAGAAGCAATGCAGTCAACAGATGCTCTTATGTGGAAAAATGCTATAGATGATGAGATGGATTCATTGATCCAAAATCATACTTGGGAGCTGGTGGACGTACGTGAATGTGCAAGGTCTAT